TTTTCTTGTGTTGTTGCTTGTTGCTTAGGCTTACTCGTCGCATTCGAGTGCTGCACGGGGCCACAACGACTAGCCCCGTGACAATTGGTATCAGAGCAGGAGCTCCTACACGCACATTGGACCCCTGTCAACCGCCCCTAATTCAACACAATGAAGAGCAACCGCGACATTGCCGATGACACACTTCACAGGCCACACCAAGCCCATAACACCAATGAGGCTCCATTCGACGAACCCGCCAGGACACAAGCCCCGAAGGGCCGCACAACTAAAGCTAGCAAGCGTGACAAATCGGTCGACCAGCTAGCTAGCATGGACAAGCGCATCCTATGTTGTGAGGCAACAGTAGGTGAGACTAGAGATCGGGTCGACGAACTCCATCTCAACATGGAGACTGTAGAGAATGCTGTGGTGGAGCTGGAGAGCCGCTTCAGTGGAGCTCTCCGAGACGTCCACAACACCTTGCAGCAATCACAAACCAGCTCTTCCCAATGTAGCCTTCAAGGCATGATGGACAGCTTCTAAGCGCAATTGGATGACATGAGGGCTGAGTTGACAATCATGAAAAGAGCTATGGCCAATTCCACTGGCTCTTCATCTGCTCCATCCACCCATATCAAGGTGCGCCAACCAACTCCATACTCCGATGATTGTGATGCTCGGGTGCTTGAAAACTTCTTGTGGCAACTTGATCAGTACTTCTCCGCGACTGGCATCCATGATGACCAAACTTAGGTACGTACAGTCGCCATGTATTTAAATGATATTGCAATGTTATGGTGGCATAGATGTTGCCAGGACATTGAACGTGGCACTCGGACCCTCAACACCTGGGCCGATTTCAAGAGAGAGATCAAGCGACAGTTCTTCCCCGAAAATGTTGAATACTTGACATGAAGAAAGTTGAAGAACTTGAAGCACCAAGACTCATTGCATGACTATGCCCAAGAGTTCTCAGCCTTGACCCTTGAGATCTCCGACATGTCTGATAAAGACCTTTTGTTCAACTTCATGGATGGTCTCAAACCATGGGCAGAGCTCGAACTACAACAACGTGGGGTGAAGGACTTAGCGACAGCCATGGCGGTGGCCGAGCAACTAGTTGATCTAAGGAAGTCAGAAGGGGAAGACCACCAACCACATAGCCCACGTACCAATAGCTTGAGTGGGGGAGATCAGAAATCAACCTCTACACAAGAGAAACCAGTGCCCACTAACAAGCCCAACAATTACCAACAAGGGAAGAAGCCACAAGGAGCCCAAAGCTATCAGGGCCACTGGTTCACTAGGAGACCAACTGCTCCTCCTACGCCTTGTTACCTTTGCAATGGGAATCATTGGACGAGTGACTGTCCAACAGGGAAGAAACTCAATGCCCTCATTGCCAAACTCAGCGACAGTGAAGAGAGTGATGAGGAGAAACCCACAACGGCGCCAAGAGTAGGCACCCTCCAACTCATCAACGCCATGGTCAAGAAAGAGGCCACATCTAAGCGGCCCACCAAAGCCCACAAGGGGCTGAAATATGTAGAGGTCACCCTCGGCGGGAGGCCGACCAAGGCCTTTGTGGACACTGGGGCCACCCATAACTTCATTTCGCTTGCGGAGGCAAAGCGACTCGGCTTGACCACCACCAAACAGACAGAGTGGATCAAGGTTGTCAACTTAGGGGCCAAAGCAGTAGAAGGCATGGCTCGTGGAGTAGAGCTCCAAGTTGGGTCATGGAAAGGACCCATCAATCTATCTGTAGTACATTTGGATGATTTTCAGGTTGTCTTGGGAATAGAGTTTCTCGCACAAGCGCAAGCAGCTCTCATGCCACACATAGACAGTCTGTTCATCTTGGACGAGTGTTCTCCTTGCATGGTTCCAGTGACAACAGCCTTGAAGGTACATGGGAAGCAACTTTCGGCCCTGCAATACTATCAGGAAGCAGATATCCACGAAGCCAGCGCCGTGTCTACAAGGAAGACCCCGTCTCAATCATCTCACATCAGCACTAGGACGGGTTGGGAAGTCATCACCAAGAAGAAGTCTCCCCCAAAGCCGTTCCAACATCAGCGCCAACATCGACATCAGCAGCAGCGCCAGTACCAATGTCAGCAACAGCACCAGCGCCAGTATCAACATCAACAACGAACCAACGTCAGCGCCACGAGCCGACAACACAAAAGACTCCTGGAAGACCCAAGGCCGTCTCCAACCACAACTAGTTCCACTATGACAATCAACGGGGAGAGCGAGTACCACCAATTCCACTTAGGTACCCTACCTACCACCACATTGATCAAGCCAACCCTCATAGGAGCCTTGTGAGGAGCAACCCTTGGGGGAAAAATCGTCAAGGGGAACAATACCCGAAAAATCCAAACCTTCATTTTGACCTAGCCCTGGCCACAAAATTTCCTACCACCAAAGTAGAACATCCAAAATCCTACCTTGAAGCAGTCAGGCAAGGACTTAATGTAGGGACTAAGCCATAGGTTTTCCCACCATCAAGAACACCCTAAAAACTTCCACCCAACCTCATGCCCAGGCCTTGGAAGAGACTAAGTTCGCGGAGTAGCTGAAGAACCCTCCTTCATCAACAGCAGATCTAAGCCTCAAGCAGAAGCCAGTCTTCAAGGACGAAGACTGAATTGAGTGAGGGAGACTGTCACAAGTGTTCTCTTCGCCGCGCCATCAAGTGCCATCCATCGTGCCTACAGCCGCCACTCCAGTGTCCAAGTGTGTGTCATGGGTGGGCTATGCATGTACTTTTGTATGGGGGGATTGCCAATGGCATTCTTGTAATTACTTAGTATGATTTTTCATCCTTTTGATGTATCTTTATGTCACTCCCCCAAAAGCTTAACGTACTCTTTGAGGGGAGGTAGGTAGTCGAGTGAATCAAGAGCATGTAAAGGTTAAGCATGAAATCCCCTCAACACTGAACTGTGTGCTTATGCTTGTCATCCATTAATACAATACAATTTGCCTTTTGTCTAATTTGTGTGCCATCTTTGTTGCCTTTTCTTGTGTTGTTGCTTGTTGCTTAGGCTTACTCGTCGCATTTGAGTGCCGCACGGGGCCCCAACGACTAGCCCCGTGACACTAGGCCTATAGAATCAGTCACTTTGTGAGAACATAGTGAATATACCATTAGCTCTGATACCAACTGATGTAGGACCAGCTCAGTTCTAGTCCTTAGAGAATGTTGAATGATCTTCTTGGATTAGAATTTTATGGCTGTTGATGGCTGTAATGACTTCTTGAAGGAGTAAGAGAGAAGAAAATAGGGAGAGAAAGAAGAGAGAAAAAACCTGCAATTACTCACAGGGTGCCTAGAATCACTCTATGGCATGGGAATCACTCACCATAGCTAGCATAAGCTGAAGAAAACTCAATAAACTTCATTGCCTTTGTGTAAAACGTCCATACATATTTATAGACTCTAAACTCATAATAATCCTATGAGCCAAACTGTTAGACTCATAATAGTCTTATGAGTCAAACTATTAGACTCAATAATCCTAGTAGGAGTGTAGGACTCAAACTAAGTTGTCATTCTATTTCAATTCAAAGAAGACTCAATAACTCTAATCCTACTTATGCAATGACTCTGAAATTTTAAATATAAACAAACTATAACTAAAAAAAATTAAACTCTATCAATGGACCCCACAGAAAATTGCAAAATGACAAAAATACCCCCCACTGTCCAAAAATACATAAATACAATTCCAATTTGACTCTTCGGCTCCTACATCATCTGAACATCAAGGGTTCGTTTATAAATTGGATTTAGAGAAAAGGCCTATGATCTAGTGGACTGGATATTTGATTTGTTCTCACTTACTAATATCCTGTCCTTTGGCTATTTGGAATTGGATATTTGATTTGTTTGTGTGCAGATGGAACCTGCCAACAGAAGTAAAAGGGGGAGAGTTATGGAAGAATATCAGAGCAGCCACCTTATTGACAATTTGGGAAGAAGGAATAGCAGAATTTTCTGTGAGAAAGAAATAAGTTTATCAGAACTGAAGGAGTGCATTTTAACAAGGGCAATACTTTGGGTGAGAACCCTCATCTCCTTTCATTCTTATTCCTTTGATGATCTATGGAGAAATTGATTGGCAGTGGCTAATAGTTCTACTGGAAGCACTTTAAGTGTTGCAGTTTGGTTTCCACCTTTGGAAGGGTTTATAAAATTGAACTTTGACAGAAGCAGACAAGGAAACCCAGGGCATTCAGGTGTGGGTGGGGTTTTGAGAAATGAGGAAGGCAATATTTTATCTCTCTTCTCAGGCCCAGTGGGATTAGGAGATTCTACTAGAGCTGAACTGTTAGCTGCTGTACAAGGAATTCAGATCGCAAGCCAACTTGGGGTGAACAACAATTTAATTGTTGAGGGAGATTCTAAGGTGACGGTAGGGTGGCTACAAGATCCAGATTCTGTTACTTGGAAATATAGGGATATAAGGAAAATTAAGTGGCTGACAAGAAATAATGGCAACCAGAATACAATGGGTGAGCAGGTCAGCCAATGCTATGGCTGCTGATGCTTTAGCCAAACAAAGGGCTTCTAGGGACATTCTCTTTGTAGCTGAGTTGTAATTCCTTTTCTTTGAGATTTTTGGGCTCAAGGGTGGTAGAATCTCACGTCCCCCCAAGGAAGCTTGTAACTGCTTTGATCTTTTGCTAATAAATTATTTCATTTGTCAAAAAAAAAAAAATACACCTTCCCCTGACCTTGTATAATATTCTTCTTTCATGTGAAATATTCTTGTGAACTACACATGCATTAAATGTTGAAAATCATGTGGTCAACACAATAAATCCAAACATAGTGTTATGGACTTCAAAATGACCCAATAATTTCACAACAACTCATTAACCTTTTGCTGCAGGTGCAGGCCTTAGTGTCCAGGAAATTGAATTCAACCATTAGTAACCGTACAAGAAATGCATCATTAACAAAGGTATAACATCATGTAGCCAAGAAAGTAGGTTCTGCATACCTGTTCACACTTCCCCAAGTTTTCCTTGTCACCATTGTAGCCCTGAAAAAAAAAGAAGAAAAAGTTCACAACAAAGACAAAAATGCCAAGCTGTACTATTTAAATAACAAGTAGGTGAGAGAACTGACATTTTAAAAGAATCAGGACAATAGTAAGGAGAAAAAAGAAGCTGTGAAGATAATCATGATTGATCAAGTATCCTCACCTTCAGAAGTTCCATCTCCTCTTTTGTAGGACAGAATTTAATGAGATTTTCCACCTGATCAACATCTAAAATCGAATCATCCAATGCTAATGCTGCACTCTGTAAAAATCCAAGGTCAGCTAACAGAGCCAACTTCAACAATGTGTTGTATAGATGAAAGGATTATGTTATGTCACTGCAGGACCTGCAGTAATAGAGGTCTCTAACACAAGGTTTAATAGAGGTCTTCCTCCCTCCCTCGTCTACATGTCAGAACACGATGTTATATGTGTATCTTTTATTTCTTTTGGCCTAGAGCATATCTGTATTCTGTACTTGTACATGCAGAGCATCTCTTTAATAAATAAAACATTTTTTTCTGGTTGGGGGTAGACTATTCTAGACATCCCTTTAGTTTCTTGCTACTTCTCATGTGAAGATTTAGATGTGAACCCTCAAGGAGTCTTGATCCCTATGGTTATCAAATATTATGACATGTTGGAATATGAGCAAAATCCATACAATATTCTAGAAAAAAAGTTTTAGATATTGTAAAGCATGTTCAGGTCACCAATAAGATGTTAAGAAGAATTTCCTATATGTCTGTATATCCTTCCTCCAGAAGGAACTGGATACTAAACCACAACCATTTTCTAAATTGTCACTTCATGAAATAGAAACTTTACACATACATAAAAATTTTGCACCAAATGAAGCTTACCATCATATCAGAAAGAGGCATCTTAACTTTTGTGAGCATAATTTCACAGTTATTTGCCCGCCTTAGCTCAATCTGCAGAGAATAATATTTGTGCTTGTCGATCAATGTGAGACAATACAGGGAAATTACAGAAATAACTTAAACAGATAAACAGCAATGCAGAATAGCTTTGTTCAATTTTTAGGTAATAAATCACTACATGGAAAGTACAAGTGAAACATAGAACAAGATCAACCTACAAGAGAAAACTTATAAAGGAGGAGAACAAGGACTGAAATTAGATAAACAGTTTAGACTGAAGCATTTAGAGGGTGAACTGGTGAAGGGGATCCAAAGTTGGTCATATCTTGGATGAGATGCAATAGAGCAGGTGCATAGCTATATAGGCAAGTCTAAGAGAAACAGTCAAGCTAGCAAACGAGTCGGATACCTTCATACGGAAGAGAAAGAAACAATGGAGGAAGAAGAAGGAAGAAAAGGGAAGAAGGAATAGCGTAGTTCAAACCTCTCTCCTGTCCCCCAAAGTTATCTTTTATTCTTTAATTGTAATATGAGCACAATTACATGAATACCCTTAATAGGGTACCAGCACTAAAAACAATAATAAAAAAGAAAAAAACAGGCCCATAACTAAGGCCCACTACTCATAAACATAAAACATAAAACATAACTAAGTAAAAGAAATAAACTAAGGCCCATTCGGCCCATCATCTCTACAAAGGCCCAAACCCTAAAGCAATGCTCAGCCAATGCCTAGAATCTAAGTTGCACCTGCATGAACCTAAAAATGATAGTCCATAAATTTGAAAGGATCTCCAACCTTAAGATTAATTGGGGAAAGAGTTGTGTGGCAGGAGTAAATTAAGGGAGTGAAGAGGTGATTCAGCTAGCTGGACTGTTGGGGTGTTAAGGGATTGGCCATTACAATATTTGGGACTACCATTGGGAGGAAATCCTAACATAGATAGTTTCTGGTATCCAGTGATTGAGAGATTTACAAAAAGACTTGCGAATTGGAAGAGAAACTACATTTCTTTGGGAGGTAGGATAACCCTAATAAAGTCAACTTTGGCTCACTTACCAGTGTACTTCCTATCTACCTTTAGGATACTGATGAAAGTAGCAAATCAGCTAGAAAAGATTACGAGGAACTTCCTTTGGAAACCAGGAGACACCAAAAAAGACCACCTAGTGAAGTGGGAGGTGGTTTCTAGAAGTAGAGATGAAGGAGGCCTAGTAATAGGAAATATTAGGCTAAGAAACACAGCATTATTGGGGAAATGGTTATAGAGATTGCCGTTGGAACAGGACAGGCTTTGGCATAGAGTGATTATTAGCATTCATGGATTGGCAGACAATGGTTGGGATGCAAGAATTGACCCTAAGGCTTCTCAATGCTTTCCCTGAAAATCTATTCATGGTAATTTACCTTCCATCCTTCCTTACTTCAAATTTGATGCTTGTGCAGGAAATAAAGTGTTGTTTTGGGAAGATATTTGGGTTAGAGACATTTCCCTTACTAAAAGGTTCCCTTCTATTTATTCACTGTTAGAAAATAAAAGAAAAGTGATCTCTTCAATTTTTACTGATAATTCTTGGGACCTAGGTCTGAGGAGAGGTCCTAAGGGAGTCAGAAATGGCAATGGTGGATGAATTAATTAACCTTCTAGGGTCAACCTACCTGGACCAATCTTGTTTCTTTATCGATAACAATAAGCTTTATTAATGAATAAGATTTGTGAAACTTTAATTACAGAAAGGGGAGGTAAGCTATCTTAACTCCCCAACAACAAAAGAACAAAGAAAGAAGCTAAAAATTAGCCCAAAACAGAGATTCCTTAACCACCCCTTGCTTAGCTAACCCATCAGCCATTGAGTTAGCACTTCTCTTCACTCAGTTGTACTTCACTTCAATATCCTTACTCAGCCATTTAAATTTTTTCTTTTCATTGTTGTAGCTCCACAAACCATTGTTGTCTCCTTTCAGCCACCTAATCACCACCTCCAAGTCCCCTTCAATAACTAAGCATCTGATGTTTAATTCTCTTACTCTTTGGATTCCTTCAAGAACTGCTAGAATCTCGGCCCTAAGAGAGTCACCCTCTCCAATTGGGCCTGAGAACATGGCAGTAATAATACCATCCTCCTTCCTGAAAACACCCCCAATCCCAGAAGGCCCTGGATTCCTTAAGCTAGTTCCATCAAAATTCAGTTTTATGAATCCAGCGGGAGGGGGGGACCAAGAGGGCCTAGAGGTCCTCTTACGATGGGCAAAGGTAGCTACCTCTTTCCACTTTCTCAATAAGTCAGCCATGGAAAATTCTGAAAATAGCTCCATAGATTTCAGCCAGTGACCTGCCCTTAAGTGTATCAGTTCTAGTAAGTTTTCCGTGGTTCTTTCCTTGTCTGAAAATATTCGTGAGTTTCTCTCTTCCCATACTGACCAGCACACTGCCGCCCTAATGCTTCTCCACATAACCTTCCCTCTTAGGTCATGTAAAGAACGAAGGAGAGAACAAGCCTTGCACACTCACGAGGGGATTCCAAGTACACCCAAAAAGGGAGAAACACCCACTCCAAAACAGTTTTGGTAACCGAATAAGTAACCATAATGTGGTAACTCATTTCCCCATCAGCTTTGCAAAGATTACACATATTGGGAAGTAAACAATAATTGGGCCTCTTTCTCTAAAGCAAGTCATTTGTGTTAATCCTTTCTAAGAAAGTTTTCCAACAAAAACTACCAACCCGAGGAGGAATTGGTTTGCTCCAAATCTCTTTAACAGGGAAGGACAACCCAAGAGGAATAGTAGGCTGAACTAAGGTCTCAAAAAACGAAGCATAAGAAAAGGAGCCAAAGGAGGAAGGGTCTAGACTCTAGTGTCTACCTTACTAGGGTTCAAGAAAACATTTTCAATGATGGCTAGTAGAGAGGAAATACAGCCCAATTATGTATCCTTAATTGCCCTTCTCAGGCCTAGGTTCCACCCAAAACTAGAAGTAGAATCAGAAGGAACTAAGAAAGAGGAGATGGGTTCATTTTTCAAACCTGACAAAGCATACAAAGAGGGAAATTGGTCCCTCAGGGGTAAGTCCCCAACCCAAGGTTGCTCCCAAAATTTTATTTGATTACTAGAGTTCAAATCATACATGATCCAAGGGGAGAAAACTAGAAGCAAATCATGAATGGCTTTCCAAGGGGAAGCAACTATAGCCCTTGTCAAAATTCCTGGATCCCAGTCGTTCTCATCTAGTCCATGTATGCTACCCACTATCTTCGTCCACAATTTGTCCCTTTCCAGTGGAAACCTCCACAACCATTTCCCCATCAACGCCATGTTTCTTTTCCTAATATTCCCAATCCCAAGCCCCCCTAGCTTCTTGCTACTAGTTACCACCTCCCAACTCACCCTATCGTCTTTCTTCTCCACTCCTGGTTCCCATAAAAAATACCTCATTAATTTTTCCACCCTGTTAGAGACCTTTGTGGGAATCTTAAACACTGACAAGAAGTAAACAGGAAGGTTAGCTAGGGTAAACCTAATCAAAGTGATTCTCCCCCCAAGAGAGATGATTTTTCCTCCAAGAAGCAAGCCTTTTCTCAAATCTCTCTAATACCTGGACCAATCTTGTTTGGACAGTAGAATTTGGAAACCTTCCCCATCTGACGTGTTCACTTGTTTCTCCTTTGATGTCCTCACTCAATCATCAAACCCTACAAGGAGCTTTCCTTCAAAGGAGATTTGGTGTCAGCCTATACACACAAAAACTCGGGCTTATTGTTGGGAGGTGGTTCTCCAAAAATCAATACTCTAGATGTGTTGCAAAGAAAAAGGCCAAATTTATGCCTATCACCCCATGTTTGTAGCCTTTGCTTAGGCTCTGGTAGGACAATCATACACCTATTAATTTCTTGTCCATTTGTGTGCTTTATTTGGGCATGGTTCTCTTCTATCTTTGGTTGCAGGTGAACACCTTCCTCGGACATGGCAAACCTTTTTTTCCCCAAGCTTTGTCAAGCAACCGAAGAGATGTGGAAGATTAATGTGGAGAGCCAAAAGAGCAGTTATCTTATGGTCAGTTTGGCCGTTTGGGAAGAAATGAACAATAGGATCTTTAAAAGGAGTGGAGAAATCCAATAAGGAAATTGTGGAAAGGATAATCATCATGACTATTCAATGGTTGAAAACTTGGGATTTGTTTAAAGACTTCTCAGCTGAAGACATTTATAGGAGTTGGGAAGTGGTGGCATCTACAACTTCCATAAAACCTACTATGCAGGAATTGTGGTCCCCACCAACACAACAAGGAGTGAAACTGAACTTTGACAGGAGTTCTAGAGGTAACCCTAGCCCTTCAGGTATAGGAGTATTCAGAGATGAAAATGGCAAAACTGTGGCTATGTTTTCAGGACCAATAGGAGTGGGAGGGCTCATTGCTCATTGAGAGCAAAGATGAGTGTAAGATATGCCAAACAGTTTGGGTTACACCAAATTGAGATAGAGGGAGACTATATTTTTTTTTTTTTTGATAAATAAGAAGGATAAATTTCATTAATAAAAACTAATGCAGTTACAAGCTTCCCGTGGAGAGGCACGAGCTGTGTCCTCTCCTACAGTAGGAAGAAAGACAAAAGATAGAAAACAGATTCGGTCTACATTTGAGCCCAATACAAACTTTCCCTATTTACCTCTTGCTTTGCAAGATCATCAACCATAGAGTTTGTTGATCTCCCCACCCATTGTACTCTCACTGTCAAGCTTCTTGTTAGGCAGTTGAATTTTTTTATTTCATTCTTAAAACACCACACTATAGAGTCCAGATTTTGTAGCCAGCCCACTACCACCTTGGAGTCCCCTTCTATTATCTCCCTGGATATTTATTGATCAAAAAAAAAAAATATCTCCCTGGATAGTGGTGGCAGCAAGTTCCGCCCTAGTAGAGTTTCCAACTCCTACTAAGAAAATAAGAACCACATTCCCACTCTCATTCCTCAGTACCCCTCCCACCCCTGACGGACCTGGATTACCAAGACTACTTCCGCCGAAATTCAGCTTCAAGAATCTCAGGAGGGGGTTCCCAAGCCATACTCACTTTAGTCTTTATGGATGAACAATTAGCCACTGCTAACCAATTCCTCCAAATATCATTAAATGAGAATTGATGGAATAGGTCCGGTGATTTTAACCACAAGATCACCCTGTTTAGAATGAGTCCTTCATCTCTTCTGGGCTTCTCTCCTTCTCTTGGAAAATTCTGGTATTCCTTTCTTCCCACACGGACCAGATCAGCGCTGCTCTTGCACACTTCCACATAATTCTTCCTCTTCTGTGACGCCAAGGGAAGAAAGCAGGATCAAAAATCAAACTTGCATCTGCTGGCCTAACCAACCTGCACCCAAACAATGAGAAGAGCCACTCCCATAACTCTAAATTGTTGATTGAGTGGTTGCAATCTGGTAAGTTTGGGAGCCTGGAACTATAGACAGCCCATAAGGGAAATCCTCGACACAACAAGGGAGACCGGTGTGTGCTTCAAATGGACAAGGAGATCAGCTAATGGTTCAGCTGACACATTGGCTAAACAAGGGACTGTGAGGGAGAGAATGTTCTAGGCAGTTTTGTAAGAAAGATTACTAGGGGCTCAACACCTGTTTAGGGGTTGACAGCTGTACTTAACTCTAGAAAGTTATTCTTAAGTTGTATTAATGAAATTACCGTTTCCAATAAAAAAAAAGTTGCACCTGCATGCAAGCAATTGAAAAATTACTAGAACTCTTCCTAGTCATAGCAATTAGCAAAATCTTCATACACCAGATATACAACTCAACTAAAAAATGCCTTATCCAAACTATTTTGAGTCGGTTACCCAAATCCTATTTTGTCATTCCAATTCATCAAGGACAAAGGACTATATCCATGGTTAATTTCATGCACCAGATATTTTAAATCAAGTGCATGTCACACTACTTGGTTATTTGCTCAGTCCATGGCAGCTCTATAATCCACCATTAATTGGAACTTTCTCAAATGATGTTAACTTGTCAATTAGTTTTCTTTGCTTCAAAAGATGCCCAGAAAATGACCAATTTGGCCACAGGACAAGGAATTTTGAGCTGAAACTTGCCCCATGAGTGAAGGATGAAAGTTAAACATATTTATCCCTTTCAATCCACCCTATGAAAAGTCAGTCAAGACATATTTGAAATCACAAAAGTATGGAATATTATCCAAACATTAAAAAGATGGATCATGAGGAGCACATAAGGTCACTTCAAGAAATTTGAAGAAATTAACAACATTATCCCCTACAAAGTATAAAAAAGAGCCATGAAATTTTAAATGTACAATGCCAATTTTTGTGAATTACCAGGTGAACTTTATCGGGTTTAGATCCAAGAGACTTGCGTCGTCCTCCAGATTTACCTCCTGAGCCATCAACCATATTTGGAACTGTGGCAGAGAAAAGGCTCTCAAGTTCTGACACATCAAATTCTGATGCACTGGCATACAAAGGTGACAATGTTGTAAATATGAGAACAAAAAAGAAATAGTTAAACTATGATGCAGACTGCAGTAGTCGTAGAACAAAATTAGAAACCAATGCCATCATGCAAATCTGACGGTATTAAATATAACCAAATAAATATGCTAGATTTCCATGAAAACTTTTCAGAATCAAGGTTTAAGAAATGAAAATCAATATGGGCAACAAGAATCTAGAAAAAAATCATCAGGGCAAAGAAGCAAATCCAAGTAGAAAGAGATAATCATAATACATTTGAGGCTCTTCATATCTCTGCAGTTCTGCCCATAAGCTTCCTTGCACTGCTCTTGTTACCTTCACCCAGTGCAGTGGCTTCAATGTAGATCGCCGAGGTGCTGAAGCAGAAGACCCCTGATAACCTGTAGCTGTAGGACGTGAAAGTCCACGGCCTCTTCCAACAGATAAACTTTTTGCATCAGATAGAGAACCAATTGCATTTGGTCCTTTCGCCCCAAAGGGTGGAGGTGGAGGAGGTGCACCACCTGGAGGTCTGGGTGGAGCAGGAGGACCAGGTGCTCGAGCTCCAAGAGGTGGAGGTGGAGGTGGAGCTCCACGTGTGGGGGGAGGTGGAGGAGGTGGAGCTCCACGCATGGGGGGAGGTGGAGGAGGTGGAGCTCCACGCAT